CCCAGCCTTGTGATCGATGGCAGAAGCCTGGCGTACGCCCTCGAGAAACACCTGGAGGACAAATTTCTCTTCCTGGCCAAGCAGTGCCGGTCGGTCTTGTGCTGTCGCTCGACGCCCCTGCAGAAGAGCATGGTGGTGAAGCTGGTCAGGAGCAAGCTCAAGGCCATGACCCTGGCCATAGGTGAGTGCCCGGGCCAGCTGAGAATGGGGATTCTTGGCAGGTGCTTCCGTGAGCTGCCTGGGCCGAGGCTGCGTGATGCCGGACGGACCCAGACACATGGCGGGGATCGGAACGCCCACGGCCTCCTGTCAGCTGACTTCTGCTGACCGTCCCAGACGAGCATCTGGTGACAGAAGTCCGTCTTAAGTCCTGAGCAGGTGCTGAGTCTTCCACCGCGTCCATAGGGACTGTGTGCCCAGTGGCTTCTGCTGGCACACGGGGACCACGGAGCCTCTGGCTCCTCTCTGGGCTGCCTGGCAGGCACCTGCCTCCTCTGCACGCCCCCCACCCACCCTGTGCAGGGCCTGCTCCCGCCAGGCTCGCCAGGCTCGGGCCCAGCAGCGCCGCCTGCTGGTGAGGGCCTGGAAGGACCGCGGGTGACCGGGGTGACTTGGGGACGGGGGATCCCCGTGACCCCAGATGTCGGTTTGCTCTTCCTGTGGCTGGAACCCACACCTGGGTGAGTGCTGGCTCTGGAATCACCTGATTGGGAATAATTATAGTGTTTTCTGCAAAGACCCGTGACAGCCTGTCCTTGTTGACTGGGGCTTGCCCCCTGCCACGTGGGGAGCCTGACGAGGACAGAGTTGAGGCCAGTGCAGAGCCTGGGTCTGGGGTGGCCTGAGCGTCACTGTCACGAAGACGGCCCAGGCTCGGGGAAGACAGGCAGCTGCTCCGGGCGGCTCTCCTGAGGGGCTGTCTCAGGACCAGCTTTGTCCCCGTGCCTGGAGTGGCCTTCTGGTCCCCCTGAGCAAGTGCTGGAGGCAGGAGCCGGGACTCTGCAAGCTGAGTCTCCATCCCCCGCCCCCCACCCGCTCCTCCCATCTGTCCTCGGTGGTAACGTGTCCCCTGGTACAGCCGCTGCCAGACGTGAATGACGAAGCGCATGTTTGCAGCCTGCTCGGGGCCTGGCTCTGCCACCGAGTCACTGGTGTGCGGTTCTCATTTAAGAAAGCGGAGGCAAAGCCTTGGCTACTTGAGCAGGACGCAGGGGGCAGCACGCTGACCCCTGGGACGCGAGCTCGTCTCCCACTGGCAGTCACGGCCTCGGAGCCCTCATCCTGGGCCCAGGGACGACTCACAGACAGCACCGTGGCCCGTGACGTCCATTCTGAGTGGCGTTCGGGGAAAGCCGCGGAGGTTGGCGTGGCCTCCCAGCTTTCAGTCCAGCGGCTATGACAAGTCAGCCGCCTTGGGCCCAGAGTCCAGAACAGCAGGTGACAGGAGGGAGACAGTCAGTGCCCACGTGAGGGGCCGCTCCGCCTGCACATCCGCGTGTTCGAAACTTGTCGCTCCGTGGTGTGGGTCCTTCTGCCCGCTTCCAGAAAGGGTCACGGTCACTGAGTGACACTGACAGTCTGCTCGCCTCCCCTCGAAGGTGTCGGGCGCTGTCACCTGCGCCTGGGAGGCTAAGCGCTTTGTGGGCAGCCGGGCTGACCAGACGGTCCCCGGGGTCCCCGCGAAGCGGCTCTGCCTGTGTGGGCGGGACTCGCCGCCTCGGAAAGCACGGCGAGGGGCCGCGTTGGGGCCGCGTGACCGATCGCTCTACACGCGACAGGGGCAGGGCGCTCCGCAGGTGACTGGACACGAGACCACCCGGAGAGCCGCAGGGGGTTAGGGCGTTGCTGGCGCGTGGAGCTGACCGAGGGAGGAGGTGCTGTCGCCCGCGCCCCGTGCCGGTCCCCGGGGCCCGGCTCGGCTGGCCCAGGCGCACTGCCCGCTTCTCCTCACCCTGGCCCGGCCCAGCGGGGACCCCGTGAAGCACCTCCACGCCAGCGACGCTTCCTCCCCGATTCTTTCCAGGGGACGGAGCCAATGACGTCAGCATGATCCAGGTGGCAGACGTGGGCGTGGGCATCTCGGGCCAGGAGGGCATGCAGGTAAAGACTGACCGGGCTGTCCAGGGCGACCTCCCCGTGGGCTGCGTCCAGCCACGTGAAGGGCTGGCCTCGGGCGCAGCGGAGCCCACAGCAGCCGAGGCGGAAGGTGGCTGCGAGGTGGCGGGGCCGGGCGCGGCCGCTGTCCTCAGGCGTCCTCTGTGGCGCAGGTAGAACAGGCGGGGGGCTCGTCACCTCCTCCCTGGCTGTTCGCGCCCTGCCTTTGGGGCATTTCCATGGCCCCTGAACACTAGTGACACCACTTGAGAGACTGGCTCTGCACGTCCCCGTTGTCACCATGTGCTCCCCACAGGGGACCCAGACGCCGAGCCAAGGGGCTCATTAAGACGTACTGCTCTGGGCGTCGTTACGATTTCCTACATTTGATTAACTTTGAATCACAACGTTGTTCAGCTTGCTAGCGACTTCAGGGAACACGCTCTCACGTGTTCTCATTTTAAGAAGCAGGACGTTGTCACCAGTCAGTCACCGGCTGACTCACTCCGCCATGTGCTCGGGCTGGGGTCCCTCACCGAGCACTCACCGGGCCAGGCCTGACAGAGGCGCCGTCCCCAGCGAGGCACAGCGGTCGCCCGTCAGCACACTCCACACTCCGGCCCCTGCCCCACCGGCCCCTAGTCGCATGCCTGGCCTCTTCACAGTGCCGCGTGTGGGGAGCTCGCGACACCTCAGTTGAATGAGTGGACAGAATAGTCAGCTCGTGCGGACATTGGTGGCACTGCCTCCTGGCATTACGCTCGTTTCCTAGGTCAGCGGTCCCCAGCCCTTACGGCACCAGGGACCGGCACTCCTGTGACAGTAACAGCTGAGGATCTGAGGGGGGCTGAGGCGGTGATGCTGGCGCTGGGGAGCGGCTGCAGATGCAGACGAGGCTTCACTCACTTGCCCGCCGGTCCCCTCCTGCTGGGCGGCCCGGTTCCCGACAGGCCACGGCCAGTACTGGTCCGTGGCCCGGGGGCCGGGGACCGTGCCTCAGAGTGAAGCTGAGCAGGGCGATGCCTGTAAAGCACAGGCGTAGGGAAGGCACCCCGTAAACCCACTGACTACGATCACTGACCGGAGAGGGACTCAGCGGCCACCGCTCACTTCCTCAAGGCAGGAGCCGGGATTTTTGTCTGCATTTTGAGAGATGATGGGATTGGCCAGGCCCGAGGTCACATGCTCAGGCCAGGCCCGAGGTCACATGCCGAGACTCGGCCCGCAGCGGGCGTGAGGTCTCGGTGGGGTGCTGTGGGACACCTTGCAGCGTTCCCAGCTGCCCTTCTCTGAGGAGGTGGCACTCTGGGGGCCGCCACGGCCCGGCACCTCCTCCTACTGGTCCAGAGCACGGGCCAGTGTCCCTGTGCAGGTAGATACGGGTGGCAGGGACACTAATCCGACCTGAGTCACCGAGGATGGGTGAGGTGTTTGGAGCTCCCATGCCAGCTGAAGTGGGGACCTAGCGGGAACAAAGGACATTATCTCCGAGAAGCTTGGTCCTTGGGGGAGAATCTGGGCCCATCACGTTTGCTGGGCACCTGTGGGGCAGAGCCCTGGCCAGGGACGAGAGGTACAGGGTGTAGGACGGCCGCTCTGCTGGCTGCCACGGGAAGTCGGAGGAGCCAGGAAGACGGGCAGTTCCCGCGAGCTCCGCCGGACGTCACTGCAGGAGGTGCCAGGAGCAGCACGAGGGCCTCACGGCGGGTCCGACCCCGCGGACGGGCAGCAGGCCGGCGGGGGGCTTACGCGCGCTTCTCCCCCGGGGCGGGTGCTCCAGAGGCGGCCCGCGGCCTGTCCCTAACCTCTCCTAACGGCTGTCCCTGTGTCGAGAACAGGGACCCTGACTGGTGGTGTCTGTCTCCAGGTCTGTGCCTGGCAACGGGGGTTCAGGGGGTGACTGCGAGGACGGGCAGTGGACGGATGAGGGACTTAAAGAGACGCGGAGCCTCCCAGTGCCACCAGGAGGCGGTGAGGACACGGCGTCTGCCTCGAATCCCTAACTCGGGGCTCCGAGAGCAGGCATTCCGAGGTGTCAGGCTTTTCTGTCACGTGTAACAAGTGACGTTATTCTGCACAGAAAGGACATCAAGCATGGTCTACTTTTCTAGGTTTTATTCAAATATAGGAAATCAGTTAAAAGTTGAAAGCGGCCTTACACGTTTGTGTGTGACAATCCTCTGGAGACAGACGCTTTTTTCCCCGACATTTCCTTTGATTTGTTTTTCCAAATAGAGAAATTCGTCACAGGGTGGGTTCCAAGGTATTCTGGGCACAAAAGGCATCACTTTGATGGCCTTTGTCTGGCCCGGGGAGCACGAGGCTCAAAGAGGTGAAGGGACCTGTCCAGCCCCATCACCTTCCCTGCCCGTGGAGGACACGTGCTGTCCCCACTCCGGGACGGGGTGCACGGGGCCAGCAGAGCGGGAGCCTGGCCTCGCCTACCCCGGAACGTGCCTCGCAGGACGCCCCGGTCCCTGCCACGCGTCAGCAGGGCGTCTGCGCCTGGCGCGGGGAGCCCCGGGCAGAACCACGGAGACTGCACACGCCCCGTGTTTTTCTGGACTCCGGTCTCACGTGTTTGAAGCCGTGACGATGGCCCTGAACCTGGGGCTCGCTGGGGCCGAGTTTAGCTGGGGCAGGAGAGGGGACAGCGGCCTCCCTGCCCGAGCTGGCCCCGTGTTGGGGGCGGGCTGCAGGCCGGCGGGCCTCGTGACGCGCGCTCCCTCCCCAGGCGCCCGAGCCGGCCCCGTGTTGGGGGCGGGCCGCAGGCCGGCGGGCCTCGTGACGCGCGCGCTCCCTCCCCAGGCGGTGATGGCCAGCGACTTCGCGGTGCCCCGGTTCCGGTTTCTGCAGCGGCTGCTGGTCGTGCACGGCCACTGGTGCTACTCGCGGCTCGCCAACATGGTGCTGTATTTCTTCTACAAGAACACGGTGCGTGCCGCACGCGCCCCGGGGCCCTGACCGTGGCTGCGCCTCGGAGGGAGTGGGGGGGAGACGGGCAGGCCAAACGCGCGGCCGCCGAGCGCCTTAGAGTGAGGGGCGGTCTGGTTGCGAGCGTGACGCGGCCGGTGGCCGTCCCCCGTCTGTCCGGCTGCCTCTCCTGTGCGCTCAGCCCTCCGTCACCGTGGTTCTCAGGCGAGGTGCTGAGGGGCCAGACAGGCGTCGCCCAGAGTGGACGGAGTCACGGGACAAGCAGGGTGTGGTCGGCGGTCGGGCAGACAGAATGAGGGGACTGTCACACTGCGGCCCTGGTACCGAATGGCTTGTGCTGAGACACACCCACACTGGACCACGCACGAGTCCCCTGGGCAGGGCGCAGGCTCAGACCCGGTGGGAAGGGGCCACCAGCAGGGCCCCACCACACTGTCTCACGTGCTGGCAGGACAGGGGCGGACCCCTCAGGGCCACGCCCTGGCTCTCCGGGGCTCTGTCCAGGGTCCTGATCCATCCCACAGTGACAGACGTGACTCCCAGTTCCTTGTAACTGGGTCCTGGCGGCCCGGCGTCTGCCCCCAGCACGAGCACCACGGCCACTTCCGAGCTCCACTCTCCTCTGGGGCAGAGGGACATCCTGCCCAGACTTGTTGGCCTGCTCCTGCCTGGCCTCTGACAGCGTGTGGGGGGGTGTCCAGACAAGGGGACTCTAAAATAAGCTGGGGTAAGTGACCACCCAGGGTGGTCCCACAGACCTGCCACGTGAGATGCTACAGCTCCAACGTCAGATCGGCCTGCACTCTTCTGCGAGATAAGACACAAAGGTGTTTTGCTCACCTTACTCTGTAATCCTGCTTTGAAGCCTCCGTGCTGGTCTACGCCGCCGTGAGCACAGCTGTTGCTCATGCTCAGCGGGGGGGGGAGGGTTCCCACCTGCCCGATCCCCCTCCTGCCCCTCACTCTCACCCATTACAGAGTGTCTCCTAGCAAAGGGCACCGCTGCTGAGGGCCAGTCAGGGCAGGTCTAAGTCGACAGGTTGGATCCTGGAATTAATTCACACTAGGCTCTGCCTGCGACTCTGTCCTGTCGCCCGCCGCCTCGGCCCTGGGGTTCCAGCTCCAGTGCGCGCTGAGAACAGGCGTTGCTCGCGCTCGTTAACTGCGCCCAGCTGCGGCGAGCCATTCGCCATCTATGGATTTTATTCTCTTTATCTGAAAACCAAAGCGCACGTGGGAGTCGAGTTCTCTCCGTAATTCCTAACGAGAGCTCCCCAGACCGAGAGGAGGGCGTTGGACGTTTCCGCTGTGGACGGACAGAGTGGCCATCCCAAGGGGGCACGGCCTGTCTATGGTCGGGGAGAGGATGGGGCGGGGGCCGGGGGCACCCGCTTCCACGCGGGGTAGGACCGCGGGGTAGGACGCAGGGCCTCCGCATGCACTTGAGACGTTCAGCGCTAACCGCTCTGCCTCTCACAGCGAGGCGGTCATTATTTTTAGGAGGAAGTTGGTCTTCCTTCCCAGCACAGAGCAGAGAAGCAGTTTCCATAGCAACAGGTTTGAGAAGAAGGCTTTCTGGTACCCTTGGCAACTCCTCGCTTATCTAAACGCTCCTCCTCCACGTTCTGTTCCGTGGACTCCTGGCTCGTTATGACTCAGTCGGCCCAGCCGGTGGTGCCGGGTGCCGGGGGAGGAAGCGGGGAAGTCAACGGGAAGTCCGCGTTGGCCGCTTTCCAGGGCAGAGGGGGAAGCTGCACACGTCGCAGACGGAAACGGGACTTGGAGGGAGTGTGACATCGTAGGTTACGTCAGCAGACTCCTTCCTGGTCGTCAGAACAGGCCAGTTTCAGGTCAGGAAACGGGAGCTCCGAGAGGCTGCGTGACGGCGCCAGGTCAGAAGGGCAGAGTGGCAGCTCCTGGCCGCCCTGGGGAGCGTTCTGATGCGCGCTCCCTCGGGACGGCCCCAGCTCCGGGCCAAGGCCTCGAGCAGCTGAACAAGCTGGTTTATGGAGAGGTAAACGGTGGTCAGAGTCCAGGCCTCTGACACCCTGGACGTCGGCTTGCTTCTCCCTAAACGAGGTGGGCACACTGACCCTGCGTGAGCCTCAGCCGAAGGGGACACCCAGAGCTGCCGGCGGAGCACGCGCGTGGGCACGCCCAGTGTGCGAGGGCCCACGGCCGAGTGCCATCAGCCCGCCCGGTTCCTGGACAAGGACGCTGAGCAGAGAGCTTAAATGACCTGTGCCAGGCCGCACCCCTCACACGTCTGAGCGCTTTGCGACCGCTAACCCACCGTGACCCCCCAGAAATGGGGGTCGGTGACCAACTCGCAGGGGGCAGGGGCCCACCCCTAACTCCTACCGAGCATGTGCTCCAGGAGGCCAGGCCCCCTCCCGCAACCTCGCTGTCCAGGTCGGCGAGGCAGCGGCAGCGGTGGGGACCCGCTGGGGCTCACCCACCAGCCGAGTGCCCGAGGGGGCCCTGTGGGCACCAGCGACCCTGCCGCCACGCCCGCGTGCGTCTCTGCTACCCGCCCGCTGCCCGTCGTCAGGGGGAGGCGGGGTCTGGGATGCAGCACCTGGAGGTTCGGTTCAGGGAAGAGGCCGAGACGGGTGACCCGGATGTGAGCAGCCCTAGGCGCAGCGGGGCCTCCGCCGTGCCCATCAGTGCCTGTGGCTCTTCAGGCACGAGACCTCACACGCCACAGGCTGGCCTGGGAACACCCGGCTCCCACCGCGTGTCCTTCGTCGTCTCGGGGGGACAAGAAGGGCCAGGAGCGGGGAGAGGCCGGGGCGCGGGCCCAGTGCCCGCCCCGCAGGGCCCGGGCGGAGACTGTGCCAGGGCGGCTCCGAGCGGCTCGCCCCGCTCCCCTCTCTCGACTGCAGATGTTCGTGGGCCTCCTGTTCTGGTTCCAGTTCCACTGCGGCTTCTCCGCGTCCGCCATGATCGACCAGTGGTATCTGATCTTCTTTAACCTGCTCTTCTCGTCGCTTCCCCAGCTCGTGACTGGGGTGCTGGACCAGGACGTGCCGGCCGATGTGCTGCTGACCGAGCCGCAGCTCTACAAGAGCGGTCAGAACATGGAGGTGAGCCTCCCCGCCCCCCTCGCCTCCCACCCCTGGGAGCTGCGAGTGCCCGGGCCTCTCTGCGCGGACGACCGGGGACAACTCTTAAAACTCCAGAATCTGGCCAGTGGCAGGGGAGGGAAAAAACCGATTTTGCCGGCCCGACTCCAGGGGAAGCGGCGAGGCGGCCGGCTGTGCGCGTGTCCACCCCCTCTGAGGTGTGTGTTAAATGGTTTTGTGTATCGATTTAACGCAAGGCTAAAGAGACAGGGTCCAAGAAAAGGTAGAATGCAGTGAACACTGTCCCCGCGGCGAGTCTGCGAAGCCCGCGGCCAGCCCACCTGTCCGCTACGTCGCTGTGGTGGCTGCTGCAGCCTCCCAAAAGGTGGTTTATCTGGAATGGGAATTAACGAGAAGGTGAACTCATAGACCGGTGACCACACGCAGATGTAAATGCGTGTGAACACACCGCCTGGGTCGAGCGCTGATGACCAGGTCCTCCTAGTGCCCATCAGCGAGTTAAAATATCATGTGCGCCGAGGGAACCACCCACAGCCTCCCGTCCAACTCAGAACGTTCCTCTTCAAAGGACGAGCTGACGTCCTTTGCTCACCCTGTGGACCCGGGGTTGCCACGGAAGCAGGCAGCATGGGGAGGGGCTGCTGAGGGCCGCTGCGGTACCCGTCACCTGCGCTCGGGCCTCCTCTGCTCAGGACGCAGGGCGTCTCGTCCTGTGGAGTTTGGTAACCGATGGGGAGGGCCTGGCCCGCACCCGCCCGGCGCTCAGTAAATGCCCCGTCTGTCCGACCTGCATTCGCTGTGGCTGGGGCTGGGCCAGCTGCTCAGGGGCCCACAGGGTCAGGTACAGGTTGCTACTCGCTGATGGGCACGTGGAAGGCTGGCTCTAACGGCCACCTGGGAGGAGCTGGTCGTCAGCATGTCAGGCCAGGCGGCTGCCCAGATAAAGAAGACCCATGAGTCCGTGTGGAGGACTCTGTCCTCGGTGCCCAGCTCTTCGATTTTAACATCAGAGCATCCATGATGGACTTTGAGACGGTCACTCTCATGACACGTTCTAGGGAGCCCACCCACAGGGGAAGGCAGCACCCCGACAAAGTGGGAGCAGAGGAACCTGGCCTGGGGAGGCCACCCCGAAATGCAGCGCCCCCCCCAAAACCTCCTACGTCGCCTCAGAGCTGCTACAGCCAGTGTTTCTCACGGGCCCTGCGGGACCCCCCACCCCCTCCCCGGTCCCAGTCAGCACGTTTAAGCGAGTAACGGCCCGGGGAAGGCTGACCTGCTGGTCTTGTGCCCCAGGAGTATCGGCCGCGGACCTTCTGGTTAAACATGGCCGACGCCGCCTTCCAGAGCCTGGTCTGCTTCTTCATCCCTTACCTGGTAAGTTGGCACCGGCACTACTGTTCCCGTCGCTTCCCCAGCGACCCGAGACACAGGACACCGCTGTCTTCCAGGCCTACTACGACTCGGACACGGATGTGTTCACCTGGGGGACCCCCATCACTGCCATCGCGCTGCTCACCTTCCTGCTGCACCTGGGCATCGAAACCAAGACCTGGGTGAGGGGGGGCGGGGCTTGGGGGGGGCTTGGCCTGCGCGCATGCGCGCCCGCGAGAGCCCGGTGTCCGGCCACCCGGTCCCCTGGGGCCCAGGCCGTGGGCTCTGGGCAGCTCAGCCCCCTCCCCGCCTGGGTCCAGGCGGGTCCCCGGGTCCCCAAGCCCCAGCGGCCGCCGTGCCAAGACCCGTTTTCTCAGCCCTCAGAACGTCGCCGCCAGTGCGGACGACCGGGGCCTTCCTGGCTGAAACAGCGGCCCTCTCTGTCTCTCCGCCCTCAGACCTGGCTCAACTGGGTGGCCTGTGGCTTCAGCGTCCTTTTATTCCTCGCTGTGGCGCTGGTTTACAATGCGTCCTGCGCGACGTGCTACCCGCCGTCCAACCCCTACTGGACCATGCACACGCTCCTGGGCGACCCCGTGTTCTACCTGACCTGCCTCCTGGCGCCCGTCGCCGCGCTGCTGCCCAGGTGGGTGTCGCCGGGTCGCGTCCCGGGCGGGCTGGGGCCCATTTCACCCAGCGACGGCCGCGCTGACGCCGTGTTCGCTCTGTCCAGGCTGCTGTGCAAAGCTCTCCAGGGGACCCTTTCCCCCACCCCGCTTCAGCGGGGACGCCAGCTGGCCAAGAGGTCCCCCAGGAGACTCGGCACCCCCAGAGAGCCGCGGGGCCGCGCCCCGGTGGTGCAGAGCATGGAGCCGCTGGAGCAGAGCAGCGCGGGGGCCTCTGGGCCCCTCTCCAGGGAC